CGAATTAGACTTACCTCTATTACCTCTGTTAAAATTCACACAAGATGTATTACCCATGTCATTATTCTGTTCATCTGTGGTGTTTGGAGTGTTAGACCTAGATGATCCACCGCCAATGCAGTCTATATATAGAATTATATAAAAACATAATTACTTTAAACAATATAATACAATATGTTACTATTGCCATAATACCATCTATAGGATTTCCAAATAAATTTTCATAAATTCAATTAATTTTCCTAAAAAACCTTTTTTTTTAGAGTAAATTAATAATGAATTAAATACAACGCTGTACATACTGCGTTGAAACAGTATGAATCAATTTCTATGATACTCAAGCAATTTATATTCCCAGATTAACTAAAATTTTATACTATCATTTAAACTAAAAAAAAACTGTGTAAAACTTGTTTTTGTAGCATAACATTTAAAAATGTTATGATTTAAAAATCATACATTTTTTTTTTAGAATGTTTTTTCTGTCCCTTGGTTAATACAAATTAAAATTTATTGTCCTATTCAATCGAGTATTACCAAAAAAATACAATACGAAAAACAATGATTAAAATTATAATTGATAAACTAATCGTTGTTAAATTAATTAAGATTGAATAATTATATCGTGGAAAAAGCAGTTTTTTTTCAAATAAACTAATCATGGTAAAATGAATCATAATTGAAAAAGTTAACCGTGGAAAATAGCAATTTATTTTTTACATTTTTAATTAAAATATTTAGCACCACAAATAACTACAATTATACTACACAAGTGTGTAAAATATGGCTTGTAATTATTATACTTAATAGTTTTTAACTATCTATAATTTCCTATCAAAGTTATTTCAAAGCCCTGTCATAATAATTACTAAAAAAACTATTATTCCAGCGTCACCAATATGTTTCGACCCCTCACTATGCCTCGACCTCATTGAGATATTTTCATACCAAATCTTATAATATAATATAGTTACTTTTTATTGTAGAAGAACCGCCACCACACCTAAAAACCAAACGTTCATATTTAAAATTAAAATTAAAATAGAAAACTCAAGATTCGGTATAGTATTTCCAAACGGTTTTATAAAATAAATAGTTAGAATAAATACTTACGCCACGTATGCTACCAGACTAAACAAGAGAATAATTTTAATAGTTATCATATTATCTGTTATAATATACTGTTTAGTTCGACTGCATTTAAATATTCAGTGTTTTCAGTATTTATAGGACCTAACTCAACGTGTTTGCTTATAATTGGTTAACACAAAGTTACAAGTGGGGGATGTAGATGATTTTTTATTTTTTTCAAGACCATATTATTGTCTATAATGTAGCCTAGGTTATTTATGACCATGTTATTAAAATTATCCTCTTATTAATTTGTCGTTCATTGCAGTGTGAAAATATTATAATTAAAAATATGTATTTGCTTAGAACTTAAAATTTTTTGAAGAATTTTTAGTCAGAAATCATACACAAATGGTCCTTTGATAGGCCAAAAAAAAACTTGTCCGACAAGGCAAACCGTGAGGTTTGTGTGAAAACACAGCTGGCGGCTGTCTGTATTATCTTTGATTCCTTGATGAACTACCGCTAAGATTAAGGGTATTCAACCCCAATAATAGAACCAGATTCGTCCAGAAATGAACTTAGCTTTCCGTAAGATTCAGTTTAGACCGTAGCATATACATCCTCGAGGGACTACTTAGGCTCAAGTTTATCGGAAATATATTTATCAATAAATCAAACTCTGACACTAAAGTTAAAATTATACAATAATTAATTCGTATCAGCTGTTATTACAATATTGTTTGTTGATTGGTTTGTATTTATAATAGTCAGAAATATAATTTTCGTTCTGACATTGTTTAACAACGTGTAGCTGCAACTAAGTTTCATGTTTGAAATCATAAGTTAAGGTACAATAAAATAACCAATAACAATGGTGAAAGAGATAGTGTAGTTTAAGTTAAAATTTTGGTCGCAAATGATCAAACTTGATAGTGTAGAAAACGTTTATAATTAAAAAAAAATCAACATTTTATATAATGTTTCCAAACGGTTTTAAAAAATAAATAAAAAATACTTACGCCACGTACGTTGCCAGACTAAGCAAAAGAATCATTTTAATAGTTACCATATTAACTGTTTTAATTTACTGTTTTAAATTTAGATACATTGAAATTTTTTTTTTTATTTGTCGATTTACTGCTTGGTGAATGCTTATTTTGAATTTATAAAATTTATGATTCCTTCTCCTCGTGTTCCATTGAATATTGTTTTTATTTCATTGTTGACATACAGACAACCTCCACCGCAGTCTATCACTAATGGTCTCACCGTTGATTTGACTCCTGGGACTTTTTTGCCGTCGATCCAGAGTGCATCGCCTTTAAATTCTATGATTAAACCACATTGCTTAAAAACTCCATCTCCTGAAACGTATTCAATAAATAAAATGTGTTATAAGGTACGATAATAATTTGCCCACAAGGCCAAACTAGGCTTACCCGTATGATCGAAGTTATTATACTGCGCACGATTATTACCACTGTTATTATACTGCTCACCACTATTACCACTGTTACCACTGAAGTTATTAAACTGCATACGATTATTACCACTGTTGTTATACTGCTCACCACTATTACCACTGTTCAACTGCACACTAGCTGTATTGCCAAAGTCATTATTCTGCTCATCTGTGGTGTTTGGAGTGTTAGACCTAGATGATCCACCACATTCTATGTCATTACATTCTATACAAAAATATAATTACTTTAAACAAAATAATAAGATGTCATATTACCATAAGAGAAACCATACGATTTGTTCATCGATTTCCTAAATAAATTCAGTTAATTTCTTAAAAAAAACCCTTTTTCTTTTTTTGAGAGAATTACTAATATATTGTATACATCACTGTACATACTGTAGCAGTATATGAATCAATTCGTATTATGTTCAAAAAATATTTTAACAATACAAACTTTATAATAACGTGTAAACTAAAAAACAGTGTAGAACTTGTTTTTGTAGCATACAAATTTATTTTTTTAAATTAATATAGATATCAGATTTAAAAATGAGATATTAACTTTATAAACTACTTGGTTAATACAAATTAGTTATATTGTCCTAATCGATCGAGTATTACGAAAAATAAAATATATATTAACTAAGAATAACAATGATTAAAATTATTAATCACAATTGAAAAACTTATCATGAGTAATAGTTTATTTTGTCATGTTTGAAAAATTTAATCGTGGAAAATAGAAATTCATTTTTGAAATCATAAGTATATTACATTATAGTTCTTACATATTTTACTGTGTAAAATATGGCTTATAATTATACTTAATAGTTTCTAACCATCTATAATTTCCTATCAGAAGTTATTTCAAAGCTCAGTCATAAAAATTACTTAAAAAATGCTTCGACTACACACTATGCCCTAACCTCCATAAGGTTATTTTTTTATACCAAATCTTATAAAATATAGTTACTTTTGTTTCTAGAAATATAACCACCACACCTAAAAGCAAACGTTTATATTTAAAAAAAAATTTAACAAAAAAACTCTACATTTTATATAATGTTTCCAAACGGTTTAAAAAATAAATAAATACAAAATACTTACGCCACGTACGTTGCCAGACTAAGCAAAAGAATCATTTTAATAGTTACCATATTAACTGTTTTAATTTACTGTTTAATTCAAATTTACTAAAATATTCGGTGTTTTTAGTACTTATAGGAGCAAAGACAACGTGTACAATACCGGTTAACACAAAATACAAGTTATGATTATGTGTACCATAACATATGTAATTTGTACACGTAGTCATTTAGACATAACAATTTTTTTTTTTTTGATTTGTCGCGTTTTTAAGTCAAGACGTATCTAAACACTATTTACCGTTTTTTCAATGTATCGCACCGCTCAGCCCAACAAGTATACCACGACGAATTTTGTTAAAAGGCATATTGAATACTTTTCGGACAAACAAGCAAATGTATATGCTTACAAAATTAAAAAAAAAATGTTCGATAATTATTATAATTACTATCAGATATTACTCCAGCTAAGGTTACTTAAAACTCGAAGGTTAATAATAAATCATAAGTTGAAAATATTCTAGTGTTAAACATACAATTATAGAATTTGTACACATAGATATTTTGATATGTTTTTTTTCCAACTGCCGTTGTGTATATTCATGAAACCAAAAATATTAAATGTTTAGTAAAATAACGTGTAAAACCTACATAGGTACAAGATAGTTTTAATGGGTGTCGTATCTGTAATTTTGTGTATCTTTTTTTTTTTATTTGATATATTTGATTTTATGAAAATAACGTTTTCCATGCGAATACCTTATAGCACTGTTAGAGTATACGCATCGCCAAACTAATATAATGAAGAATTTAATCATCGATATTACGATTTTTTTTTTAAATTCCTACTCTACTTGTACTCATATATATGTTTTTTATTGTCTGTTATTTATAGTTTAAAGTTTTGACTCTTCATCTACGCTAGAAACTCGTAAATAGCTAAGGAGATCTTTAAAAACAAAGAACATCCATGTCTAGTGTTGTATGATTTTTATACAAAATTAAAATTTATTTTCTATTTTCTTTTTATCTAGGGCTTATAGTTTTAAATAGTCAACCTTTGGCCAAACCATACTAAAATTATGCTGTTTATAAAAGGTTTTTTCAACTTGTTTTTTAATATTTAAATATAACAAATAAGTTATAATTAAAAAGAAAGTTCTTAACTAATTGAATAGTTATAAGTATCAAATTTATCATTACATTTTTTTTTTTTTTGGAAAAACAGTGACCTCATTATGTCCTTTTTTGAAATGGCCGATTCAATTATAAATTTAATGATAATATTATGAATTTATATTAATATAGCTATTGTACAACTAAAATATAGTACTAAGAAATATATTCTTTTATTTTCATATTTTTAATTAGGATATAATCAGTTTGTAATAATTGCATTAAGTTACATTGAATTTTTTATCTCTCATTGTAGATTTATTGCTTCTTGAATATTTAAAAATACATGATTCCTTGTCCTAGTATTCCATTGAGTTGTTCAATTATTATGATGTAATCAGTTGGTAATATTTGAATTTGGTTACATTGAATTTTTATTTTTTATTGTAAAAATGCATTAATCCTTCTCCAGTTGTTTCAGCGAATTGTTCATTTATAATCCCATTTATCTTTAATGAACCTTCACCAATTTCTATCACGCTTACATTCTTTGCTTTAACTCCTTTCGCTTTTATGCCGTTGATAAAGAGTTTATTACCTTTAAATTTTACGGTATTACCATCTATATCATAAACTGTTTCTTCTGAAATGTTTTCAATAAATTAGATGTGATATAAGGTATGAAAATAATGCGACCCCGAGGCCGAATTAGACTTACCTCTATTACCTCTGTTAAAATTCACACAAGATGTATTACCCATGTCATTATTCTGTTCATCTGTGGTGTTTGGAGTGTTAGACCTAGATGATCCACCGCCAATGCAGTCTATATATAGAATTATATAAAAACATAATTACTTTAAACAATATAATACAATATGTTACTATTGCCATAATACCATCTATAGGATTTCCAAATAAATTTTCATAAATTCAATTAATTTTCCTAAAAAACCTTTTTTTTTTAGAGTAAATTAATAATGAATTAAATACAACGCTGTACATACTGCGTTGAAACAGTATGAATCAATTTCTATGATACTCAAGCAATTTATATTCCCAGATTAACTAAAATTTTATACTATCATTTAAACTAAAAAAAAACTGTGTAAAACTTGTTTTTGTAGCATAACATTTAAAAATGTTATGATTTAAAAATCATATATTTTTTTTTTAGAATGTTTTTTCTGTCCCTTGGTTAATACAAATTAAAATTTATTGTCCTATTCAATCGAGTATTACCAAAAAAATACAATACGAAAAACAATGATTAAAATTATAATTGATAAACTAATCGTTGTTAAATTAATTAAGATTGAATAATTATATCGTGGAAAAAGCAGTTTTTTTTCAAATAAACTAATCATGGTAAAATGAATCATAATTGAAAAAGTTAACCGTGGAAAATAGCAATTTATTTTTTACATTTTTAATTAAAATATTTAGCACCACAAATAACTACAATTATACTACACAAGTGTGTAAAATATGGCTTGTAATTATTATACTTAATAGTTTTTAACTATCTATAATTTCCTATCAAAGTTATTTCAAAGCCCTGTCATAATAATTACTAAAAAAACTATTATTCCAGCGTCACCAATATGTTTCGACCCCTCACTATGCCTCGACCTCATTGAGATATTTTCATACCAAATCTTATAATATAATATAGTTACTTTTTATTGTAGAAGAACCGCCACCACACCTAAAAACCAAACGTTCATATTTAAAATTAAAATTAAAATAGAAAACTCAAGATTCGGTATAGTATTTCCAAACGGTTTTATAAAATAAATAGTTAGAATAAATACTTACGCCACGTATGCTACCAGACTAAACAAGAGAATAATTTTAATAGTTATCATATTATCTGTTATAATATACTGTTTAGTTCGACTGCATTTAAATATTCAGTGTTTTCAGTATTTATAGGACCTAACTCAACGTGTTTGCTTATAATTGGTTAACACAAAGTTACAAGTGGGGGATGTAGATGATTTTTTATTTTTTTCAAGACCATATTATTGTCTATAATGTAGCCTAGGTTATTTATGACCATGTTATTAAAATTATCCTCTTATTAATTTGTCGTTCATTGCAGTGTGAAAATATTATAATTAAAAATATGTATTTGCTTAGAACTTAAAATTTTTTGAAGAATTTTTAGTCAGAAATCATACACAAATGGTCCTTTGATAGGCCAAAAAAAAACTTGTCCGACAAGGCAAACCGTGAGGTTTGTGTGAAAACACAGCTGGCGGCTGTCTGTATTATCTTTGATTCCTTGATGAACTACCGCTAAGATTAAGGGTATTCAACCCCAATAATAGAACCAGATTCGTCCAGAAATGAACTTAGCTTTCCGTAAGATTCAGTTTAGACCGTAGCATATACATCCTCGAGGGACTACTTAGGCTCAAGTTTATCGGAAATATATTTATCAATAAATCAAACTCTGACACTAAAGTTAAAATTATACAATAATTAATTCGTATCAGCTGTTATTACAATATTGTTTGTTGATTGGTTTGTATTTATAATAGTCAGAAATATAATTTTCGTTCTGACATTGTTTAACAACGTGTAGCTGCAACTAAGTTTCATGTTTGAAATCATAAGTTAAGGTACAATAAAATAACCAATAACAATGGTGAAAGAGATAGTGTAGTTTAAGTTAAAATTTTGGTCGCAAATGATCAAACTTGATAGTGTAGAAAACGTTTATAATTAAAAAAAAATCAACATTTTATATAATGTTTCCAAACGGTTTTAAAAAATAAATAAAAAATACGTACGTTGCCAGACTAAGCAAAAGAATCATTTTAATAGTTACCATATTAACTGTTTTAATTTACTGTTTTAAATTTAGATACATTGAAATTTTTTTTTTTATTTGTCGATTTACTGCTTGGTGAATGCTTATTTTGAATTTATAAAATTTATGATTCCTTCTCCTCGTGTTCCATTGAATATTGTTTTTATTTCATTGTTGACATACAGACAACCTCCACCGCAGTCTATCACTAATGGTCTCACCGTTGATTTGACTCCTGGGACTTTTTTGCCGTCGATCCAGAGTGCATCGCCTTTAAATTCTATGATTAAACCACATTGCTTAAAAACTCCATCTCCTGAAACGTATTCAATAAATAAAATGTGTTATAAGGTACGATAATAATTTGCCCACAAGGCCAAACTAGGCTTACCCGTATGATCGAAGTTATTATACTGCGCACGATTATTACCACTGTTATTATACTGCTCACCACTATTACCACTGTTACCACTGAAGTTATTAAACTGCATACGATTATTACCACTGTTGTTATACTGCTCACCACTATTACCACTGTTCAACTGCACACTAGCTGTATTGCCAAAGTCATTATTCTGCTCATCTGTGGTGTTTGGAGTGTTAGACCTAGATGATCCACCACATTCTATGTCATTACATTCTATACAAAAATATAATTACTTTAAACAAAATAATAAGATGTCATATTACCATAAGAGAAACCATACGATTTGTTCATCGATTTCCTAAATAAATTCAGTTAATTTCTTAAAAAAAACCCTTTTTCTTTTTTTGAGAGAATTACTAATATATTGTATACATCACTGTACATACTGTAGCAGTATATGAATCAATTCGTATTATGTTCAAAAAATATTTTAACAATACAAACTTTATAATAACGTGTAAACTAAAAAACAGTGTAGAACTTGTTTTTGTAGCATACAAATTTATTTTTTTAAATTAATATAGATATCAGATTTAAAAATGAGATATTAACTTTATAAACTACTTGGTTAATACAAATTAGTTATATTGTCCTAATCGATCGAGTATTACGAAAAATAAAATATATATTAACTAAGAATAACAATGATTAAAATTATTAATCACAATTGAAAAACTTATCATGAGTAATAGTTTATTTTGTCATGTTTGAAAAATTTAATCGTGGAAAATAGAAATTCATTTTTGAAATCATAAGTATATTACATTATAGTTCTTACATATTTTACTGTGTAAAATATGGCTTATAATTATACTTAATAGTTTCTAACCATCTATAATTTCCTATCAGAAGTTATTTCAAAGCTCAGTCATAAAAATTACTTAAAAAATGCTTCGACTACACACTATGCCCTAACCTCCATAAGGTTATTTTTTTATACCAAATCTTATAAAATATAGTTACTTTTGTTTCTAGAAATATAACCACCACACCTAAAAGCAAACGTTTATATTTAAAAAAAAATTTAACAAAAAAACTCTACATTTTATATAATGTTTCCAAACGGTTTAAAAAATAAATAAATACAAAATACTTACGCCACGTACGTTGCCAGACTAAGCAAAAGAATCATTTTAATAGTTACCATATTAACTGTTTTAATTTACTGTTTAATTCAAATTTACTAAAATATTCGGTGTTTTTAGTACTTATAGGAGCAAAGACAACGTGTACAATACCGGTTAACACAAAATACAAGTTATGATTATGTGTACCATAACATATGTAATTTGTACACGTAGTCATTTAGACATAACAATTTTTTTTTTTTTGATTTGTCGCGTTTTTAAGTCAAGACGTATCTAAACACTATTTACCGTTTTTTCAATGTATCGCACCGCTCAGCCCAACAAGTATACCACGACGAATTTTGTTAAAAGGCATATTGAATACTTTTCGGACAAACAAGCAAATGTCTGTACTTAAAAAATGTTCGATAATTATTATAATTACTATCAGGTATTACTCCAGCTAAGGTTACTTAAAACTCGAAGGTTATAATAAATCATAGGTTGAAAATATTCTAGTGTTAAACATACAATTATAGAATTAGTACACATAAATATTTTGATATATTTTTTTCCAACTGCCGATGTGAATATTCATGAAACCAAAAATATTAAATTTTTAGTAAAATAACGTGTAAACCCTACATAGGTATAAGATAGTGTTAATGGGTGCCATGTTTGTAATTTTGTGTATCTTTTAGCTTCGATGCAAAGCGGAGAAGGTATTAGTTTTTCTCTGATGTGTTTTTTTTTATCTGTATACACTGTAACTTTTTTAATACCGAACCAATTCCTTCGAGTAGCAACTCTATAAATCACAAATTTCATCTAGTTGGTACTTTAGGGGGGTAGGAGTAAAAGTTGAAAAAGTTTACTTCTTTATTGTCAAAATTTGAAAAAACCGTACGAGTTTTTAAGTTGGAATTTTACTGGCTATAATTTCGAGAAAAAAAGTCGGATCGAGTTGAAATTTATAAGAAATATTTATTTAGTATGCCCGCACTCGTCAGTTGTATCAAATTTAAATTAAACTCATTTACCACCCCCCGAGAGGGGGTTCAAGTTTTTTTAGTTTTTTAGCCGTAATTTTAAGACCTTTAAGTTGAAAATTTGTCAGTAGTTAGAACTCATATGTGTATCCATAACATGTTAAACTGAAAACAAATTCGGCTCTATAGTTTTTTTTAATTGCTGAAAAACTGTGTTTTCGCTGATTGCGTATATTTTAACAAAAACACCTAAAATCTTTAAAAAAATGTATCAAATCATTAAAACAATTTTATGTAGATCTATGCAGAATGATACTGTTAAGTTTTGTGCTCAAGTACCACTTTTGACTTTAAGCTTACACAAATTAAATTTTAATTTTTTTTTTACTTAAGTTTTTTCTGGCTGAGTGAAATTGAGAAATTATATTAAATTCGTAATCACCGACCCCAAAAACATATAATTTGACCACTTTTGAAGCATTTTACATAAAAACACAGAAAAATGTTTTAGTTTCGATGCAGAGCGTCGAAGGTATTGGTTTTAATGTGTTTAGGTTGTACTTGTTTTACTATTTATGTAATATAATAATAAAATAATAATTATGTAACTTATTAAAAGATTACGGCTCTTTTAAATTATATTATAAACTTCAAAGTCCAATCAAATTCTATTTTACTAAAAAACAAAAAATAGATTAACATATATGTCTAAATTTATTATTCATACAAGTTGCTATAAGATATTGCAAAACCGCCCCTCCCTTTAGGATTTTAATCCTCTAATCGAAGGGGGGAAAATTACAATAACCTTGAAATAACATTGTATTACAAAAAAAAAACCAAATTCAGTTCACGTAAATTGTTTTTTTTATTATTATTCTAGAAAATCGTCAATAAGTCGGGTTGGCCATGAATTTCTTAAGACCTTGAATTTGTCGATTCGTATATTTCAATTTATGTATACAGTGGAAATGGGAAAGTACATCGAACAACCCAAGTGTTTTTCTATAGTAAAAAAATTGCGTTTTCGAGTTAATGCTTAGGCGAGAATTCGATAATAATACTGCCATAGAAAATCGTACATATAAATCTTTTTTTACTTTTGAATTCGGTGTAACTTTTGAAATATATGCGCTAATGTGCGAAATTATACAAAATCCTCACTCTCTAACAAATTATTATAATAATTTATACACCTATGCAATGGTCTTATCATTAATGACTTATTAATTCGTATTGGCCTAAAACGGAACCCCTAATTTGTTGAAAATTGTCCACCAACTTTTATGGTCTCGGCGATAAATTCTTCCGCTTTTCTTTTCTCTAATCGTAATTAATTTTTATCACAATTGTTGCATCTAAGCTACAAAATGCATCTCCTGAAACGTTTTCAATAAATAAAATGTGATACAAGGTATGATAATAATTAGACTTGCCTATTATATTACCTTGGTTATCCTGCACTTCACCACTCGGAGTAATAACCTGCTCACCTCCACTAACCGGATTAAAAACTTGCACACATTCATTACCCTGATTATTAAACTGCGTACCTCTATTAGCAATGTTATTAAAAATGTTTGAAGTACCAACTCCGTAATCTTCAACATGAACTTCATCTTCGTTTGGTAATTCACTAGATTCAAGAGTCATTCGTGACAATGACACGATGTCGTCATTGTCCAATTGTGTTGTTTCGACTGAAATGTTAACAATATATATCTTAAAAACTATGTAGCCAGGCACGCACATCACTCAATCTATGGTAACAACATTATAATATACACAATCGACCAGTTCATACATTTAGCAGATTATTGTCAAAAAATGTTTTTGACATGCAGAGTTGGGAATTTTGTATTTAAGTTAAAAAATTTTTAATCTTAACTATTTGAGTCAAAAAATAAAAATAGTCATGGTTAAAAATTTACTTTTTTGTAGGTACATAAGAATACAGTTTTAGTGGCTTAAGAAATCATTTGTGTACAATTTAATGATATTATATTGTATAGTTTCATTTAATTTAAAAATGTTCAATGAATAATAGCACTTAAACTTAAAACTGTGTATTACTTGTTTTCGTAGCGCTTTTAAAAAATAATTAAATAAGAGCTAACGGATTAAAAAAGATGAAATTTTTATCTCAAGGTATGGTTATAAGACTAGTCCACTAATTTTAAAAAAATGGTTAAAATAAAAATATATTATATTTTATATAATGCGCAACTCTGCCGACGTGACGGTGAAATTTATTTTTTCAATTTTCATTGGAATTATTTAACACCAAAAAAAATCATATAAGTTATAACACAATAGTTAATATGGTTTATATTTATACTTCTAGTAATAAAACCTTTTATAATTTCCTATGCAAGGTTATTTCTAAACTCATAAAAATTACTAAAAAGGCTATTACTCCATGTCACCAATATAATTTAGAGTTTAGTCCCACATGCTCCGGCCTTATTGAATTATTTTATTTTAATCTTATAATATTATTGTTACCTTCTTTTGGCGATTCATCGCCGTTACCACACCTGAAAAGCAAACGTTTATATTTAAAATTAATATTAAACAAGAAAACTCAAGATCTAATATAATATATCCAAACGGTTTTAATAAATAAATAGTTAGAAAAAATACTTACACCGCGTATGCAACTAGATTAAACAAAAGAATAATTTTAATAGTTATCATATTAACTATTTTAATATACCGTTCAACTATACTAAAATATTGGGTGTTTTTAGTAGTTAAGTATAGAATCAAAGTCAACGTGTACGTCTACAATATCGGTTAACACTAAGTTACAAGTTGGGCATACAGATAGATTTACGTTTTTTTGCACGAATAAAACACATATTAATATTTGTTTTCAAGACAATGTAACCGTCTATTATAACGCCCGTGTTATTTATGGGCATCTTCATTGCACTGTAAAATTCAACAATAATAAATATGTATTTGCTTAGAGCTCAATATTTTTTGTCAGAAATCGCACACAAAAGGTATTGTAAAAAGCCAAAAAAAAAACTTCACTACTTAATATTTAAATATTTTTAATTTCCATTTTCAGAATTATTATATTGATGTTCAGTATGAGCAGTTCGATTCTTAGTTTTTAATTTTCATTAAGTTTTTTTGGCAGTGTAATATTTAAAACTGTTGTACAGGGGGATTTTTGTTATCATTGGCCACTTAATATCTCACTGGATTTAATTAATAATGAAATTGATTTTATCATAGTGTTTTTATATAATGTGATCTCAATTTTCCACAATTTATTATGTTTGTACCCGCCTTCCAAACTAGTTTTTTTGATAGTTTTTTTTTAGATGTCAAATTCGCCCTTTTTGGTACACCAGATTGATGAAACGACTCAATGGGTAGGCTATTGTTGACCACTTTTGAAGTCTTTTACAAAAAAATAAAAAAATAAAATTGTTTTAAATATTCTCCATAAGTATCAAATTTATCATTACATTTTTTTTTTTTTTTAAAACAGTGACTTACTTATGTCGTTTTTTGAAATGGCCGATTCGATTATAAATTTGATGATATTTGTGATAATATTATTAATTTGTATTTATATAATTATTGTAAAACTAAAACTGTATAATTGAATTTGGTTGCATTGAATTTTTATTTTTTATTGTAAAAATGCATTAATCCTTCTCCTGATGTACTAGCGAATTGTTCATTTATTATCCCATTTATCTTTAATGAACCTTCACCAATTTCTATCACGCTCACATTCTTTGCTTTAACTCTTTTCGCTTTTATGTCGTTGATAAAGAGTTTATTACCTTTAAATTTTACAGTATTACCATCTATGTTATAAACTGCTTTTCCTGAAACGTTATCAATAAATAAGATGTGGTATAAGGTATGATAATAATTCTACTACGAGGCCAATGACTTACCACTGTTTAACCGCCCACTAGATGTATGATCCATGTCATTATTCAGCTCATCTGCGGTGTTTGGAGTGTTAGACCTAGATGATCCACCGCCAATGCAGTCTATATATAGAATTATATAAAAATATAATTACTTTAAATAATATAATACAATATGTTACTATTGCCATAATACCATCTATAGGATTTGCCCATAGATTTCCAGAGTACAATTAGTTTCTTAAAATAAACTTTTTTTTTAGAGTGAATTACTAATGTATTTCATACAGCACCACATACTGCGATGAAACAGTATGAATCAATTCCTATGATATTCAAGCAATTTATGTTCCCAGAATAACTAAAACTTTATACAAATATCATTTAAACTAAAAAAAACTGTGTAGAACTTGTTTTCGTAGCATAACATTTAAAAATGTTATGATAAAAATGATACAATTTTCTCTAGAATGTTTTTTCCCTTTAACTACTTGGTTAATTATATTGTCTTAATCAATCGAGTATTAAAAAAAAAACAAATTATTCACCACGAATAACAATGATTAAAAATCATAATTGAAAAACTAATCATGGTAAAATGAATCATAATTGAAAAAGTTAAGCGTTGAAAATAGCAATTTATTTTTTACATTTTTAATTAAAATATTTAGCACCACAAATAACTACAATTATACTACACAAGAGTGTTAAATATGGCTTATAATTGTTATACTTAATAGTTTTTAATTATCTGTAATTTCCTATCAAAAGATATTTCAAAGTCCTGTCATAATAATTACTAAAAAAACTATTATCCCAACGTCACCAATATGCTTTGACCCCTCACTATGCCCCGACCTCATTGAGATATTTTTATACCAAATCTTATAATATAATATAGTTACTTTTTATTGTAGATAAACCGCCACCACACCTAAAAAGCAAACGTTTATATTTAAAATAAAAATTAAACAAGAAAACTAAAGATCTGATATAATATTTCCAAATGGTTTTTGAAATAAACAGTTAGAAAAAAAACGTACGCAACGTATGCTGCCAGACTAAGCAAAATAGTAATTTTAACAGTTATCATATTGACTGTTATAATATACTGTTTAGTTCTACTAAATACGCTAAATGTTTCGGATAATATTAAACTTGATAATATAAAAGTTTTTGCCAAACTTTCAACATATATTGTTAAAAATATTTTCTGTCCAGTTAATACCTGCGGCTAAATAACTATTGCAATAAAAATGTTGTTTTTTTGCTATAGTGCACGCGTTATATTGACACAGCACGATACATTGCAAAAAAAAAATCAAACGTTTTAAGACAATCATAAGTTGACAATATTCTCGAATGACACATAAGGTTTTTTTTTTCGCACAGTTGTTTCGATATATTCTTTTGCAACTGCTATAGGCAAAAGCTTGAATTTCCGACCAACAAAATATTTTTCATATTAAATCCGATCACGTGTAAAGTCGTAGACAATGATTATGTATTCCATAACATAATATGTAATTTGTACACGTCGTCTTTTAGGTGTATTTTGTTTTATAACTATATGAACGCATTAAAATTACAATACAGATTCGCATCAAAGTGTTTATTTGTAAGTGATGTTATCACTTTCGGTTGTTTTAATTCATATATATATATATATATATATACCTATTTACTGTGACCCTATAATATTCTTCGGGCCCTACTCCATTGTACTGGATTTTTAGCATTTGCATTATGTACTACATTTTAATAACATTGCCCTCGAGTTAATTTTATGTGCTAGTTTGAGCACTTGATAATATTAATGTTGTTTAGTTATTTTCTAAAATGTCCAGGGTTTGCACCGTAAATAATCAGATTTCTTAATATTTATTTTTATTTTCGTATAGGAGCACTAATTGCTAGTAATTTTAATTGTTTATTAATGTTTAAAATAGTCTAAATACATATTGGAAAAGAAATAGATCTGAAAGAAATGACTGGATGTTCATCAGTGAAATTATCTGTACATGTATGTCTGGTACAATAATTTTTTTTTGTGAATAATCATGAAACCAAAGATATTAAATAAAAAACTGATATAATAAAGAATTTAGTCATCGATATTATCCATTTTTTTTTTTACATTCCTACTCTATGTGTACTCAGATTTATACAATGTTGTATATTATCAGTGATTCATAGTATTAAATAGTCAACCGTGGCCTAAGCCGTTCTTGACTTCTGTTGTTTTTGAAAGGAATATCAAATCGTTTTCTATAAGGTATAAAAAATAATGAATAAGTTATATTCTTTTATTTTCATATTTTTTATTATGGTATAATCAATTTGTAATTTTTAAATTTAGATACATTGAATTTTTATTATAGATTTATTGCTTAATGAATATTTAAAAATACATGATTCCTTGTCCTGTTATTCCTTTAAATTGACCATGGTCTTCCCCATTTATCGTGACTGAACCGTTACCCCAACTTATCAGCTTTACATCTTTTTTTTTCATTCCTTTCACTTTTTCCTTATTGATCCAAACTGTATTACCTTTAAATTGTACGGTTATACCATCTCGGTTATAAGTTATTGTATCTCCTGAAAAGTTTTCAAAAAATAAGAATATAAGGTGATATAAGGTAAGATGAGGCCGAATTAAACTTACCATCATTACCACTGTTATTAATCTGCATACCTTCATTACAAGTGTTATTAAACGTTGCACCTTTGTTGGTTTCTGATGATCCTACAATGTAGTCTAAATTATATGAATATATAATTACTTTAAGCAATATAATATAATATGTCTGTATTTTCGAAAGAGCATCTATAGAATTTGTTCATATATTTCCCAAATTCAAATAATTTCTAAAAAAAACGTTTGTGCTTTTGTTTCTCCTTAAACTACTTTAATAATTAAAATTAATTATGTTATCCTACTCAATAGAGTATTACAAAAAATGATTAACTACGAATAACAATAAACTATGAATGAAACAATAAATAACAAAAAAAATACTAAACATGATTGAAAAAGTTAATCGTGGGAATAGTTAAAATCAGTATAATAAGTATTATAGTAAATTAAATTATTATTAGTACGGTTATTTATAGCTACATAAATAGTCCATTTTTATTTATTTAAATAATGTACAACTCTGCCGATATGACGTTGCAATTTATTTTCTTAATTTTCAGTTTAATTATTTAACACCAATAGTTTTTACTATCTATAATTTCCTATCGAAGGTAATTTCCAAACTCAATCATTTTAATTAATAAAAAAACTTTTATCTCCACGTCACCAATGTGCTTCGACCCCACTATGCCCCGTCGAACTTATTGTGTTTTTTTTTACCAAATCTTTTGTTATATACTTACTTAATAAATTGGTAAACCAGCAACCACAACTAAAAAGCAAACGTTTAAAATTTAAATTTAAATTTAAAAAAAAAAACTCTAAATTTCATATAGTATTTCCAAACGGTTTTAAAAAATAAATAGTAAAAAAAAAATACTTACGCCACGTATGCTACCAGACTAAACAAGAGAATAATTTTAATAGTTATCATATTAACTGTTTTAATTTGCTGTTTAATTTGACTCTACTTAAATTTTCAGTGTTTTTAGTACTTTTAGAAGAAAAGTCAACGTGTACGTTAAAAAAAACGTCTACAATATCGGTTAACACTAAGTTACGATTTGGACATACATGTCATGGATTTACGTTTTTTTACACGAATAAAATACAAATTAAAATTTGTATTCAAGACAATATGACTGTCGATAACAACGCCTGAATTCTATTTTATGTACATCTTATTAAAATTGTTGTCTGTATTACTTCTACGTTCATTGCAGTGTGAAATTTTAATAATAAAAAATACTTATTTGCTTAAAGCTCAAAGTTTTTAGTCAGGAATCGCACACAAATGGTACTGTAAAAGGCCAAAAGAAAAACTTTACTACTCACTTTTTAAATATTA